TTTTTCTGACCTTGAGCAAAAATATCTCAATAACTACAGTATATAATTAAATTTAATAAAGTTTGTTTTTTTATATTAATTCTACAAAAACCAGTATGTTAGACCCATCGTTAAACGACGGACTATAATGTGTGTCACAAAGGGAAAAGCTCGTCACTTAGAGATTGTATTCAGAAAATATTTAAAATCCGATGGCAGGATTACTTTTGGCGGTTCAAAAAAAAACATATATACAAATATGTTACACAAATATGCAATGGTCGTGAACATTGCATAATCCCAATTTTTAGATGAAGAACCAAAAAAAAAAATTTATCAAATTTGGTTAAGTGATTGTCAAGATATTTCGTTCAAAGTTTCAAAAGTTTAAAATATCTATCAAATTAATAGATATAAAAAAGTTTTTGAAACTTTGAGTGAAGACATCTTGACAATCACTTAACCAAATTCTATAATGTCGCGTAGCTACTTGTTCTGATTTTGAAGTACAGATGGCATAAAAAGTTTGTAAAAGATGAAATTAATGTAGACTTGGATTGTGATGTAATAATGGATTTAATTATTAAAGAATGCAATCGAATCCCACTGAAAAGGGGGAATTCTAATAGTTAAGATAATCTTGAGCAATGTTGAAATTTATATATAAATAATAGGATATTTCAAAAATGAAATACTTCATTTTTTTATTTTTTTTATTTAGTTTTATTTCTAAATAATAACTACAATTAGCTTGAAGTAGTGATGGGACCTTCTGAATTATTAATAACAAATCATGATTATTAATTGATTGATCGAATTATTAACTAATAATAATTAGTATAGGATGTATAAAAAACGAAAAATTACGTCAATATTTTTCTCAAAAATTGTTGAAATATTGGCGGATTAAACTTTTAGTAAATCTGTTGGTAGTTTATTTAATTCATCATATCGATATGATCGAAGTTATTAACTATTAATGATATTAATAACGCAATTATTAATTTTTTCATTATTAACTAAAAACTCAGAGGTCCCAATTACTAGCTTGAAGCATCTCAGAATATACTGTGCGGTATACTTTTTTATATTAAATACGATACTCTATTTAATATTTTATTAACGCGGAGAACTTACATTCTACAATTTCATTTTTTAATTGGCATGTCATGTTCGGCATCCGGGCACAACACATATCAGTCTTTCAGAGTGATGCTATAGGAGTTTTTAGTTCGTACGCTGACATTTTATAAATGCTAATGCAGCCAATAAAGCTAATATGTAAATTCAATAATGACGATAATTATGAATCAATGTTTGTTACACTGTTATAATTTTGACCAATAACGACAAAACATGGCCCATACTTATGAGACTATAAGTAAGTAAATCCGAAAAATTATGCATTTTTGAGGGATTATGTTTGGAACTATGATGAAGTCCCGATTTAGTTTTACCAAGTTTAGTATTCAGCGTGTCTATGTTTGGGTCACAAATTTCAATGCGTATAATCAGTTGACAAATCAGTTACACAAAATCAAAGTTTGTTTTTTTTATTAGTATTTCAAAATTTCTCTTAAGAACCCGTCTTTTTACTTTAATAACAAACGAATCTCATTGAGATTGTAGCGATAGATTCAATTATACAAAAAAGAACAAGGCTAAAGAGTGATCAGCAATCAGTTGACAAATCAGTTGTACAGAATCTAAATAGTGATTCGAAATTTCACTTAAGAAACCACCTTTTACTTTAATAATAAATGAGTCTCTGAGATTGTAGCAGTAGGCTCAATGAAAAAATACAGAAAAGGACAAACCGTATAAATTTGTATTTGTGGGTGAAACGAAACTGTGATTGGTTTTTAATAGAAAATCTAGAAAAAAAATAATAATTTGTGGCTTACCTTTATGGAATTATTTATATACGTACGTAAATACATATATACAAACAGATTAAAAGAATAATTATAATTGTATACTACATACTGGATATATAATTTATAAGATTTTATATAGAAGGTAGACACTATTAAACACGCCAAATTCAAAATTTCTTAAATGCACGCGGTATGCGCAAAAATTATTCTTATGCATCACCTTTAAATGCGCAATTTTGGAAAATTTCAAATAAACATGTATAAGCAGATAAATATTAGATAAAGTATTCAAATTTATATATAAAAGATATTAACTTTTGAGTCACATAAACTGTTTTTTGCTGCATCGAATTAAATTAATGTTTGTTGCAATATTGTATTGGTACTTAAATTATGATAAAATAGGAAATGTTTATTAGGGCACGATTGATCATAGCCTTAAGTGGCTTGAGCAACTTTCATACGTACTGTATCGATATTAGATAATCCAGAAATTGATAAATGTGTATAGCTAATGCTTAATATAGTAATACATATCATGTTTTCAATCGTGCTTTGAGTACAGCTGGCAATAGTGTCTACTCGGCAACACTGCCTCAAAATTTGGCATTCTTTTAAAAATTTAGAGAATTGAAACGGGATATACGGTAATATTAGGCTATGTCACTTTTCGCCATAATGTCGGTTCTAATTTAAATCTATGAAATTATCGAATTTTTGTGGCTTCGATAATTCAATACTTAGCCTATGAGGTAAGAAGCCACATATGCATAAGACACAGCCATTCTTTAGTTTAGTCGAACTTGGCTTAGCGTTAGTACGTTTTAATCAGTTTAATTATTTCGTCGGATATTTTTGGCTTAGTACGTTTGTTTTAATCAGTTTAATTAATTCATAAAATTGTTTATTACACTTAATTCTTGGCTATTCTTGGTTGTTCTTAATTCTTGGCAATGTTGTATATAATATATTTTGTATTCATTTAAGTGGATGGCTAGGCGTTAGGAACAATATGACGGATTGAGCCGTGCAAAATCCAAAATAATACTATCCGAAATATTACATTTGCGATGTCTCTTTTTACAGAGAATGAGGCTTATCAAAATTCTGATTAAACCATATTGTAATATTTAATAGCTATTAAACAAACATTGTAGAAAGCTATATAAGCACTTTCTTTGGTCCTTCTCAAATAATAATATCAACAATGTAGGAGAAATATCGGTAAATGGCATTATCGAATTGCTGCTCGTGATGAATATAATTACATGAGGTGATTCTCTATTTAATTTAGATTCTTTTTTTATTTATAATTTCTAATTTTTATTAATGATCTTTTAACGTCTTAATAAAGTGACAATCTAATGAAAATGCAGGTTAAATAACCAGTCTAAGATGAAACTCATTATGAAACTCCTAGAATCGCCTATACAGGCGAAAAACCTATTTGCAGATCTACAGCGAATTAGCTTTGAAATTAATTTGATTATTAGTGAACTAAGCTTTTTGTTCATTAATTCTCAAAAAAGCTTATAACTTTTTCTTATGATTATGATGACTCTAAATATTTCATATCTTTTTATTTTATTTTTTATTTCTGGATCGTCAATTTCGTAAATGAATGTGGAAACTGCTTTATTAATTTTTTTATTATAGATTACCTGACCAAAAGTAGTTCTGTTACTATTGCCCTCGTTTCTTATTAACTTATTATTTTTTTTTTATTGTGCGTTTTATTTTCATACTCGCAGAGTCCCTTTGTTAAGATGGTCTCTTATAAATTTATTTGCCTTCATCTTATCCTAACTTTTTTTTTTTTTTACTTTTTAGAATTTTGTCTTTGTTTTCTTACCTTTGTAAATATTCTTTTTCCCTTTTTTATCTATCCTTATGAGCCTTGCCAATGAAAGATTTGCTCTTTTTTTTTTCTGCCTTTTTTTATTATGTTAGGTGACCCTTTTTTTCTTGTATATAGACTATGTTCTCTTTGATTATATGCCATATAAATAGATTTTGATAGTTTGCTTTATTTTATTTTAGTTACACCACTGCATGAGACGTTAGGATTTATTTTTATTTGTTTTTCTTATTCTTTATTTTTTTTTATCTTTTATTTTTATTTTTTTATTTTTTATTTTATTTTTTATTTTTGTTTTTATTTTTTTATTTTATTTTTTATTTTTGTTTTTATTTTTTTATTTTTTTTTTTGTTTCTGTTTTTCTGGTTTTTTTTTGTTGTGAAAATAAATTAAATTTATTTTGGAATTAATTTACTAAAAAATAACGGTTTAAAATAATATTTATATTCTACGTATGTGGAGCGTTTGGTTCGATAATTCAAAAAATTGTAAACATTCTATTTTAGTAAAAAATTTCAGAACATCGATGAATTTATTACTATATAAAGCGATACTAAATTCTGTTTTTAATACGTATTTATATCAAAAAGTAATGTACCTCTGTTTTTTTGCTACGTACTACGTATTGCATTACATAGCTCAATTTCCTTGTTTAGAGTATAATCACAGCCGCATATACACTATACTGATTGCCTGATTAGATCATATAAATATTGTGCTTAAATAAATATTTATGCATAGATGTAAAATGCGTCAGCTGTTAGTACGTAGGGATGTGAAACGTCCGACTCGACTCAAAAGTCGGGTCTTTGCGGTCTCAAACAGACTTGGGACTTCGACTCCATCCGCACGTGCATTTAGTATATTTAGATATAGCATAAGAAATGTGTATTCATGCATATTTTGCATGCATTTGCATTTTTTAAATATACTTGATGCACGTGCAGATACGAGTCGAAGTCCTAAGTCTGCTTGGGACCGAGCATTTAACAAAGACTCGACTTGAATCGAGTCAGTATCGGACCGGACTTTTCACATCCCTAGCTGTTAGGTTTAAAATTTATGTACGCGAAGATCTAGATATGCAAAATTATACTTGAATTTATTTCAATTTGTTTAATTTTAATTACAACGGTTAATTATCTCAATTAGTGATAATACACTAAATATATCTTGCCCAATAGTGATATGTAATATTTATTAGTTTTAAATAAATGAAAGTATTTACTAAATCTCACCGATAATGAAAATAGCTATCAGATTAAATTATAGAAAAATTTTTCGACTATATTATTCCAAACTCTAATCCTAAATATATAATTTTACTATATATATTTATTTATTTATATATATTTATATAGATTTATATACAAATATAAATACATATAGAAAAAAGTAACTTATAATGATCAGAAAAATCATGATACACTAATATTTTGATTAATCTGCTTTTCAATGATCTTTTTTTTTAATTTGTTTGCACAATTGTCATTTCTTTATTCTATTAATTAATGCTGAAATTGGAACATATTGCAAATAAAAGACCCAGGAACAAATAATCATCTTGTTTTTGCATTATTGTATTGATCACAATTATATTAAAATATATAGCTACAAATAAATATAAAATATGCATTATTCTTTAATAAAATAAATATATTCTATAAAGTCTTTTTTTAAATTTATATATAGCTACTAATTATGTATATGAACTTTAATAATTATGATGATTTTTTATTTTGTTTTGTTGGAACTTGATTCTTATTATCATTATTTTTTGAATCATCATGTTTTGAATCATCATGTTTTGATGAATCAGGTTTTGATGAATCAGGTTTTGATGAATCAGCTTTTGATGAATCAGGTTTTGATGAATCAGCTTTTGATGAACTAGCTGTTGAATCAGGTTTTGATGAATCAGTTTGTTTTGATGAATCAGGTTTTGATGGACTAGCTGTTGAATCAGGTTTTGATGAACTAGCTTTTGAATCGCTGGATGAACCGCCGCGTAATTTCTCTCCTGGTCTGAGCGGTGCAGGTCCTGGATTATAATTTGATGGAGCGAGTAATAATGGAGCATTTGATGGATTAGGGACAGTTCCTGATGGTTGATCTGATTTTATTGTATCTGGTTTCATTGAATTTACTGATTCAATTGTTTGTGGTGATGATGCGATCGAAGCTGAAGAACTGCTTTTATCAGTACTATCATTTTCTAAAGGATTTGTAGAATTTGAATATGTACTACAAAGATCAGAAAGTTCTTGAGGCATATTAGAGAGCAATTTTCTTGTAAGTATATCGGGTGATTCTACAAACTGAACGACCATTCCCATTTCGACATGCCATTCAATGTGACAATGGTAAGCCCAGACTCCTGGATTATCTGTTATATACCAAATTAATGTCGTACTGCATTAAATATATATAATATAATATATTTTTAGTATTCAGGCTATATAAATCGCAGCAAAAATATATCAAAATGTTATATTATTATTATTGTTTACCTTAACGGTTTAAGAGTTACCACGTCACGCATAGGAGGATCAACAAGATTAGTAGGTAAACTTTTTGGGTTCGTATTATAAGTACCAGGTTCGCCTTGACAAATGATCCAGAATGCATGTCCATGCTATTTTATAGATAAATAATCAAAAAAAGTTGACCGAAATATTGTGCATAGTTTTATTAAAGCTTACCATGTGAAAAGGATGAGTTCTATTTTCATTATTAATCATCACAATTTGAACTACTGAATTACTAGGAATATCATATGCATAAGCATTATCGGAAGCAGGAAATTGGCTAGGATCCTGACCGTTTTGAAGTTTTTGGATTGTCGGATTAGAGAAATCTGGTGAGTATGACTGCCCATTAACTATTGCTGCTAGCATTTTGGTGGAACTCATGAAAACAACATTGATAGCGAATGTCATATTATGATCGTATTTTTTTGGAGGTGAATTAGGCGGATAGGGCTTCAAAGTGCTTGCATCTTGGTCATAACAGTTTGCAGAAACTGAAGTAGGAATACTACTTAAAGCAGTAGAATTTGGATTGGTTTCAGGGGCACCTTCATAACGAAGGATGCCTAAGACGTTGTAATTCAAGGTAGAGTTAGAATTGATTGTACCAGGATCGCCTGGTTGGTATGGTATACTACATCTGGAAATAGTTGCTCGGATCCAATAATTGCCAACATCCTGAGTACAGTTAACGATTACGGAGTAGCGTTGAGCAATATTAATTGAACAAGAGTCAACAGTATTCTTCTCAACATTGTTTCCATCAATTTCAATTATTTCCATTTGATGTTTGTCTATAGAAACAGTAAAATGAGCCATGGCACTAGTATTGATTATTCTAAATCTATATCTTTTGCCTTTTCGGACTTTGTAAGTGGCGTATCCCTTATCTACACATGGTGTACCATCGGTAACCGTGCTACAATCATAATGTCCTACACCACTAATTTCTCCAGAATCAGGAACGGGATCATTGCCTCGATACTTGTCTGAGAATTTTTTAAAAAAATTATGATAATAAATAAAATAAAAAATAATAATAATAGAAATCAAATTAATATAAAAGTAAATCAATGAAAATTAACAATAAGCCAATAAAAAAATACAGCAATACTAAAATATTATACTAACCACTACGGAAATAGGGCAAGAAATTTCCAGTAGGTTCATGATACCAATCACTTACTGTCATTACATATTCACAATCATATGAATTTTTATAAGGATCATCTGGATCCTGAACAATAATTGGACCCTAATTATCGTTAAGAAAATTTTGGTAAACATTGAAATTACTATATAATATCTTTATATTTTAACATTAACTTAATATCTTAATATCTTATTAATAATCAAAATTATTTATTACCTTCAATCCGTCAACATATTGAGCTACGAAATGTGAATGATACCAATAGGTTCCATATTGATCAACAGTAGTAGTATATGTGAATGTTTGCCCGCTTGTCTGTGGACATTGAGTCATTCCAGGAACACCATCAAACCATGTAGTTTGGTTCTGAAAGAGTCCATGCATATGAACTTTAATTGAAAGATTAATTTTAAGTTAGGTAAGAAAAAAAAGAAAAAAAATTCATATTTATAAGAATACATACTTCCAGTTGCATCACTATCACCAAATTGGTTAATCACAGTGAGTTTTATCGTGTCGCCTTTGTTGCAGCGGATAATTGGACCAGGATACCTTTAATAATAATAATAACAATAACAATAATAATAATAATAATTTAGACAATAATAAATAAATATATGTATATATTATTTTTTTAAGTAATTTGTGCAAGAATTAATAACTTACTGTCCATTTACGGCCCATACCACACGACTATATCCATCAGGATTTAAGGTAGTTCTTTTTAATGTGAAAGTAAATTCACGAGTTTGTGGACCCTTACTATAATCTAACGGTCCAAAGGGTTCGAAAATACCGGGAGAAGTGGAAGTAGATAGGTTAAGTGGTGGTAGATTTGTAGGATATGAGGATAATGTTGAAGTGCCTGTAGCTCTCGCGGCATAGGTTGCGGTTGGGTTTGATTTATCCGCCGATGTAGATGTACATGTTGATTTATTTTTGGGATTGAATGTTGGTTGATTTTTAGGTGGGTTTGGTGGTATATTGTTGGGTTGGTTGGGTTGTGATGATGATGAAGGATTACCCTTCTTAGAAGATTGATTTTGATTGCCTGAAGGATTACCCTTAGAAAATGGATTTTGATTGCCTGAAAAAAATGGCTTTTTATTTCCTGAAGATGACTTTTTATTTCCCGAATGTTTATTTTTGTGTGAATTTTTACTCGGAAAAAGATTATTGTAATATTTTTCCCATGAATTATATTTTTCAGGAGAACTGTTGCGAGGTTCTACTTCACGTTCTAAAGGTGTTGATGTTGTGGTATGCGTCAACAAACCAAGACATATTAAACTAAGGAGGGGATAAATCACTTTGCACTTCATTTGACAAAGGAATGAATGTCAAAAGTTAAAGGGAGACGGATAAATTTGGTAGGCACAGGGTATGGGTAAGAATCTCGACTTTAAAAGAAAACCAGCAAAAACCACTTTATATATTTACTTCCTATATTCATTATTGGTCTATTAACGTTCCGCAAAATAATTTGCGCGCGTACAAACATTATTTATTTAAACATTGTTTAAATATTTATTTTTTTTATTTTTAGAAGTTTATATGTCATTGAAAGGTGACAAGGTAATAATAATTGGAGATTTACCTAACAAATTCATTGTATTTTGTGAAACTTTTGAACTTTCTATTTGGAAAATCTGCTGTAATACATTTGCAAAACGCTTTTTACATAATTCTGTTTTAAGTGTTTCGAAATATTATTAAGGTGGTTTACTTCACAATTATAGACATTATCTTTTAATTTAGTAGCTTAAGAAAATATTATGAAGTTAAATTAATGCTTATCTTTCTTTAAATTTGGTGCATGCCCATTAACGTTAAAAAAACTTTTTTTTAATTAATTAAGTTTTTTTTCACTTTGGGAAGCATAAATTTCCTTTTTTGTCAATTTGTTTATATTATTGGTTCCAAAAACAGATATAAACCGATTGGCTTCTATCTAATATTATTATTCAATTGGTTGATATAACTGCAAATTACGTTATGAAAAATCCTAATAAACTAAATACAGAATAGCTGGATATTTAAGAAAGAACAAAAGCGAATGCAGTTATTTATTTAATTATTATTAGAATAAAAAGCTGTACATATAAATCTTCGAAAAATGCATGCATTCATGCATTAAATATCTACATACATCTATTATACATGCTTCAAGAACACGGAACCCAGTGATCATCATATCACATGCATGGCGTTATTTTGTTTACTAACACTAAAAAATTAGCCCAAACTAACCTATCACCTAACCCTAACACTAACCCTAACTACCCTAACTTAGGCCGAACACTTAATCATGTGATGTGATGATCCCAAAAATATCACTGGGTTCCTTGCTCTTGAAATTACCCATGTAACCGATTAAACAAAAAAATATACGATATTTACATGACGCAAATAAACCTAATTCTAGCACCCACACGGTTTTTTTTTTTATTTATTTATCTTACTGAAAAACAATAACAAAATTTCTATAATTGTATAATTGTGTAACAGCGTGCAGCCAAAAAATCCCGGAGACGGCCAGCATTATGCAGAATTACGAAGATCGTAAAGATAAACCAAAATGAAAAGATATATGGAAAACTACAGTAGAATCTTATCCTGGTTATCTTGGTACACTAATAAAAAGATGTTAACAATAGCCAGAAGCTAATATCTGGAAAATTTTGACTACACTTGATGTTGTGTATCCATTCGTGCTGTGAATTATTGAATTTTAAATAGTTTAAATATGTAAAATAACATATACTCGGTTTATTCAAGCTTAATTAGTGCAAGCAAATTCTTATGCTAATGAATAAAATTGTATAAAATTGTTACAAAAAGCATGCATGTTAGTAAATAATGTATATTCGTAAGTGAATAATTTAAAAGGTAAAGATTTGTGAACTTGAATTGTTACCGTAATTTATATAATAACGATTAAATTATCATTATCATGAATAAAACAAATTAAAAGTATTATAATTAATTTATTATTAAATATTTTAATCATAATTGAAAGAATATGTACTGGTGTGATTATTGACGTTTGAGTCCTATCAGGGCGTTCTTAAGCACCCACCTCAATGAATTCAATAAAAAATCTGTTTGGCTAGTTTGATTAACAGACCAATCAGATTCATTATTGGGTCTATTGAGGTACGTACGTAGGTGCCCTCAATTTAATGACACAAAACGTACAGCATCAGCCATTAAATATCACGTGATATAATGTTTAAAGAAACGTACGTATGTCGTACATAATATATACGGGAATGGTTACATTAATTGCCATTTAATATTCCCTATTTCATATCATGCACAGGTAATAGTATTATCGTTATAGCATACACGCCAAAGTTATCTCTTCTCCTTTTCTGTTCCAGTGCCATTTTTCTTTATACCAATGCATTTTATCTCATAATGCATAAGTACAGAAGTAACAATATTATAGCATACGTACACGTATGCAAGATTACCTTTTTCCGGTCCACTTTTCTTAATACATCTTATCCCATGTTATGCATAAGCGATACGTAGTATTATGGTATATTACCAAATACTGCCTCTTTCCTTTTTCTGCTGATTCGATCTTCTTAATCTGGGATTACATAAGCTCAAATTAGAAATTACGACTATTATGCAATTAATCCTTCTTTAAGGCATATACGTATAAATCAAAATAATTTTTATCAAACCAAAAATTAAAATTTAATTAAGATTAGGGTTAGGGTTAAAGGCTATACCAAAAATTTTTGCAAGGTGTTTTTTTTATGTAGCTTTGTAACTAGCGATGATATTCATATTCTCAGTTTGCAAAATCTCCTAGTGGATAACCTGATTTCGTGTAATTCCAGGATTCCAGAACATAGCGGTAGATTTACATTGCAGATACTGACCATCTGTTCGCCATGCAACTTGTCTATACTAGACTACAAACCTAATTGTCTAACCAATCTAAGTTTGATCATATACTTTATTCTTATTTGCATTTTTTTTTGCATTTTATTTGCATTTTTATTTACATTTTAATTTATTTGCATTTTTATTATATTCCCTGTTTTATATTTGTGGTTAATTATATTGATTTTTTTTGGATTTGGAACCTACTTAAGTGGATTTCGAATCAAAATGTTGATTTTGGGTCTTCAAATAGTTTACAAATATACATTACAAAGATTCTTAACTCAAAATGTTAGTTAGAAAATACTCCTTCGTTAAAAATAAGTCTCTAATAAACATAACGAAACCTTTTATATATATTGCAAAAATAGAAATCCGTTAAAATTTTGTCAAAATAAAATTATCAGTATACAAAAAGCTGTCTACTTCTACATAAATTTAAAAGTGAATGAAAATAATTTTTATAAATGGGGTTTCAGAATTAATTTTTTTTCAAATAAGTGGGAGTTTAAAAGATTCTATTTTCTTTTTTTAGAATTCCGAATCAGAAAATTAAATAGGCTTTTTTTTGATAATCATTCAATAGTAAGCGATTATGTAAATAAGTGCATACTTTAAAAAAAATAGAATTTGTACGTCACTTCTTTTGAAATAAAACGTCACTTATTTTAGCTGAAATCGGACGTCAAAGCATTAATTCTGAAACCCAATGTTTAGATTCCAATTTGATATGTAGCTATCGTCTATCTTCGAAAATACAGACGCTAATAATAATACATTTTTCAATTATTTTATATTGTCAAATATTTGCAACTAAAGATGGTAAAAAAATAAAAAAAAAAGTTTCAATGGTTTTCTTTTTTAGCTGGATTAAGTCACAAATAATTATAGCGGATAATAATGATAATAATTGAAGCTAGACAACCATCTAGCCAAACAAATTCCAAAATCATATGTAACGAAGAAAGAGCGCATAAAGTCAAAAACAATTCAATAAAACTTTCGAAAAACTGCCTCAGTGCACTAACCAAAAAGTTTTTCTTGAGAATTTTTGGCATTACAATTTTTTTTAAATAAGCTAATAGTGAAATTTGAACTTAATCCAATAGGATCCTAAGCTAAAACTAGAGATTCTGATTGATTAATTTAGACATCAGTATGACCTAGATAGTCTCATACTTATATTGATAACGATGTTTTAAACCAATAAATTTTTAAACTATTTGCCATTCAATTTAGTACAGCAAATAAAATAAAACTTCTTCCCATAAATTTAGATTCTATTTGTCACAATTTAATTCACGAATGCAAAATATAGTTACGGTCTATTTAACAAATCGACATTCATTATAAATTAATTAATTACTACATATAATATTTATTACTACATATAATTACAGATGTTTCGAAAATTTGATTTAGTTAGCATAAAAATTATAAATTTTTGCTATTTTACATGTTATGTGTCATTTATTGATTCTTTGCAATTTGGAATCTAGTGTGCCATTTTATGAATCCAAGAATAACATATGTAACTTTGGGATAGGTATGAACTTTACCGATTAACGAATGTTCATGCAGCATTCATTAAAAAAGTAAATAAATACATAAGGCAACTGCAATTATCGCGATTTGATGCGTAAAGTTAGACTAGGCTGCGGTCCAGGGCAGATAAGGACCGAACAGTATGAACTGGACGGACTAATTGTTAGACTAATAAATGTCACATAAGTTGCACCAACATATTAATTATTATGTGTTATTACCATTATTATTATAGACACCATTCAAATTATTAGTTTATTATTCGGTTTATTACATAGAAGCTACCTCTAATAAATACAGTCAGACCCCCTAAATGCCTCTCCCTAAATGAAGCACTTCTCTAAATGCATGATAGAAGTCCGGGCCCATGGTGGAACTTATAGATAAATGCACGTTCTTTATTCTGTAAGTGCACACTAATTGTCTGGCTCACTTATAAAAACTCCCTCCATAAATGGCTACTAAAGCCATGTTTATCACGTGATAATGTTACATTGTGATTTTTTTAGTGTTATCTAATTGCAACACTCCTTAAATGCACACTCCAGAGCTGGTCCCGACAACGTGCATTTAGGGAGGTCTGACTGTATTCAAATCTGTCTATTATTCTTAGAACTAATGATGGCGCATGCGCATGATTTTTGTAGGCGTATTTTAATGAGCTCTGTACTGTAATTGTATCTAGACAATTATTTTAATTAAAATATTAGAAAAGTATATCTAATTCTTGTTTAAAAAAAGCTTGTTATTATAATAAAATAGAAATTAAAGTATATCCGCGGATATTTGGAATTATTATATAAAAATTCCAAAATCTTTACCCGTAAATAACTTTTGATTCACTGGGTGATCTTATCATAAAAATGACCACATCAAT